AATTCCATTCTTTTTCTTCTGCAGCTTTTCCCATATCTATACGGGGTCGCTATTTTTGACAGCACGTTTCCACTCTCCTCGGTCTTCGTATTCGTCCCCAACAAGGCCTTTCTCTCTAATATATCCATCCATGCAATCTTTCCATCTTTTCCTTGGTCTTCCTCTCTTCCTTCTCCCCTCCACCTCCATATCCAAAACCCTCTTGCCTATATAATCATATTCCTTCCTCATCACGTGCCCATACCACTGCAATCTTCTCTCCTGAACTTTCTTCGATATTTCCCAACTAAAGTGGTTTCCTCGAATCCTCTTGTTTCTAATCCTATCAAGCCTCGTCACTCCACACATCCATCTCAACATTTTCATCTCGGCTACCTCTAATTTCTTCTCTTGAGCCTCTTCGACACTGGTTCTTACTTGCGACCTCGCTCCCTCATACATATCCTTCACCAACTTCACATACTTTTCAGACATCGTCTCCTGCACATACAACCCTCCCACCTTTCTTCTCTCCATCAGGTCTGCCAGCTCTCTACCCCTTCCTGTCATGCTTCTTACATTCAGCGTTCCAACTCTTAGATTTTGGACTAACTTCTTTGGCCGCGCCCATCCTTGACGCGGTAGCCCTCGCTCACTTCTCACAGGGGTCAGGCAAGATCCCTGCGCGTCACATTCATGGGATGCCCTGGCATTTTCCGAGGCTACATTCAAATGAACTGTCATTTTTTTGTTTTGGTAGGGTTTTTACGGCCAGATGCCCTTCCTGACGCCAACCATCCTCATTTATTCGGGCTCTGGACCGGCACCGAGTTGTGCTGGCTTGCACGCCCAGTGGCTGAGTTCTATACTTAGTTTTTTCCTTGAAAGCAAAAAATATATATATATATATATATATATAAATGTACTTACAAAAATTCATGTCATCCATGTTATTTGAAGTCTATGATTTTTCTATTCTTGTGCAGGTTAAAACAATGCATGCTCAGGGCAGGAAATTGACAGTGGCCATGCCAGGAATTGCCACTGTATTATTCAAAATGGCCACGATACCCACCCTTTGATATCCCTTTGACTGTTGTGCCCTTGCGATCTAAATTTGTATTCCATACCACAGTACAGGAAAAACCATTGGGGATCACAAACACTGGACTTACAACCTACAGAACCTACCTTATTATGAATAATATATCACACAAAATGCATGTAGTAGAGGGAGAAAAGTTTTTGATACAGTAAAACATTCATGCAGCTTGTTGAGCCATACCATACCACAGGCTCTTAGTAGTAGCAAGCAATTCAAATTGGTGCTC